TTAATTGCAGACACACATGCATGGAAGAGAGTGAACATTTATGTGCACGTCCACTCATTAGTGATTCACTAGTTCATATTTTAAAGAAATAAAAGATCAGCTATTGATTTGTCCTTTTTCTTTATTTCAGCTATTTGAAACACTATTTGAAATCTACAGAAAACTTCAAGCTAATTTTTAATTCTTCATCCACTCTTCATTTTGCTTAGCATCCAGCCTATTGATGAATTCTAGAAGAATTTAAAACTTTTTTTTTACTATTCTCTGATTATTTGATGCTAACAAATAATAGCCTGATTGTACATGTTGGATTTTATTTTTTAAATGAATGCATGGCTTCTTCAGGAATTCTTGCTGCCTTCCAAGTGAAATTTTAAATTAATTAGAGCAAAGCCCTGTTCCTGCACTAATTATACTAGAAAAAATGTGAAGTGGAAGAGATGGGGCTATTCGTAACCAGCCACCCCCCATCTTTTCATTCCCCAAATTTCAACTTCTTGTGATAAGTGACAATGCTTGTTTCTTTTAATGCAAGCAGCACTCTTTACACAGTGGGACGTTTACAGTACATGAGAGCAAAAAACCCTTTCAACATCAGGAGTTCAAAGGGCAAAGCTGTATCATGTGAGGATACTTGGAGCAGAGTCAGTATGCCTGGTTTTATTATAAAAGAATAAAAGCCAAATAAGACTCATTGGAATTCTAATAAAGGAGAAAATATGTAGCTCAGGGTTAAAATGAGGGGGTCCTTGATGCTCTCTGAGCTTGGTTGTTTTCTTGCAGACGTTTCATTAACACTCAAGGTAATATCATCAGTGCTAGATGTTATCTAGTTTGGGTAATGAAACATCTTTAAAAAAACAACCAAGCTCAGAGAGCACCAAGGACCCCCTCATTGGAATTCCCACTCTGGGCAAGGATCTCCAAGATGATCATCTGCATCAAGCTGAGAGTACAACATATATACAGTGCTTGCTATATTTAAAAGAAAAATTCAGGAATGCCCTCTATACAAGTCAAATTGCATTCATTTTGAAAAGCTACTATGCAAATGTCATTATGTCATCTGAAATAATGTTCCCCGGAGTTATAAATGTTGAGTATTGACCATCCAGAAAGAGGCAGCAGTGGTCAACCTAGCAATATGTTGAGCATATGTTTTGAAAGAATAAAAGGCAAAAATAGGTTTTGCCTTACATTTAAGGGCAGAATCACACGGGGGAATGAAAATGTTTCATAACATCTATTCTCCTCACACAAGTCCCTAGCAAGGGGCTCATAAACTACAAGCCATTTCCAAGGAAAAGCAGCAAACAGAGATGCAGTAAGAGACTATCCCCCATTCCTATGCACTGTATCAGCATCATCTTATGCTTAAGGCCCGAAAGACCTGATTTTCTTCAGCAGTACCATTCATTAAGATGTAGCAGAATGACTGTACAAGGCTCTTTGACTCAGACTTTGACTCACACTGACAAGTCCATGACATTTTGTTGCCAGAGATGGACAAAATGGCGTCCTATTTCCATTATTCAGGCAAAAACTGACTAAATTAGTAGTTGCTAGGGTATCACTCATCACACACTAGAGGCAGATTTTAGGATCAGGGGAGGCCCTATACCAGTGGTGGCGAACCTATGACACAAGTGCCAGAAGGGACATTCAGAGCCCTCTCTGTGGACATGTGTGCCGTTGCCCCAGCCCTGCCTCCCCTTGTGGCCCCCTCACCAGCAGCCCCCCCCCAGAAGAGAGTTGCCCCCGGGCATGGCCCGCACAGAGCAACACAGACAAGGACATGGCAGCCGAGCAGCGGGGACAAGACTCCACCCTTGAGCCCCATCACGTGCAGATGATGCTGCGGGGCGTGGGCAAAGGACGTGGCTGCCATGACACTGCAGGGCCACCTGGGCAATCTGCTGCAGCTGGCTGTGGAGGCAGTGGGTGGCCCTGCAGGTGGGCGGGGTGGGGGCAGGGTAGGGACAAGGTGGGAATGGGGTGGGGCAGGGATGGGCAGGGGTGGGTGGGGTGGGGGCAGGTGGGCGGGGGTGTGGCGGTTTGGGGGCATTCAGTCTCTAAAAGGTTTGCCATCACTGCCCTATACCCTGCAATCAAGAGAAACTCAGGAGGAACAGTCTAGAATAGCTTTCCTTAGCCTGAATGCCTCCAAAGTGTAGATATCAGGTCTCCAAATTCCCAGCCAGGCTGGCCATTGTGGAAAATTCCATCAGTTGAAATCCATACACACAGAGAAGGAATAGGTTGGAAAACAGGTTGCCCCGGAGGTTACTATTGTCCCCTGCATTTGCCACCTTAAATATTATTACAGTTTCCAACAACCGGGCTGTCTCTGGATAAGGAGATATCCTGGAGGCCAGAGAAGTTCTGTGGTCAAACTAGGATCTAAATTCTCCATTCTTAAACCTAGAAATATCATCTTACTAATACCAGTAACACTTCTCAGAAATCCAAACATGCATTTGCAAAGCTGAGAAATGCTAATAACCTTCATATAAAGGAAAAGATTCTCTAAATAGGTTTCTAAGATATTTAAATCTTTTGATGGTAAGAAAACCTCCCCAACCTGGTATTCTTCTGATACATTGAAATGTAGTTCCCATAATTCTGATGTGCATGTGTACTTAGAGATTCTTTGGATAGGAATTAGGGAATCTGCAATGCAACACATTCACAGGGTACCAACTTACGCAAAACTTGTTTAAGAACTAACTTAAAGTTCTTTCAAATTCACCTGAGCACCAAAAGGGTAACATAACAGAATGCAAACTATACAGTTTCAGGAACTGTTCTATCTTCATGCACTCCTACTTTCCTGTGATCCTTCAACCACAGTATTTTTCTCTCCTATATTTGGCACTTTGTCACTTCTAAAACTATAATTCATTTCTTTCAAATGAAGTCAGGCATTGCAAAGGCTGTGCATATTTGTTCAAATGTGTGACTTGTTCAACTCCTCCTTCCTTTTGCTAATCACCATCAGCCTTACACTAAGGGAAAATAAGAAAGTTTAGAAATTGACTTGTTCATAGAGGGCACAGGTGCAAGAATATTGAAAAGCCTTCTGAAATCTAAGCCTTCTACTGTATTTCCCACAATTTCCTGTCTGTGCTGGTGGCTGGCATGTTGGCTAGCAATGCTGGAAGGCACCAGGTTTGGAAAGACTATTAACAGAGCATGTGTAATAGTGATATCACATAGTCTAGCATTTTTTTTAGTTCAACATAGACTCTTTAAATAAATTATTTTTTTTGTTAAATTAAAAAATCCACCTAGCAAACCATCTTGCCATAAACGCAGTCGATGACTATCCTAGCTTTTTTACTTTACTGATTTACAAAGGAGCTTTAAACTAGTAATGTATATTGCAATTGATTTTCACCGTACAATAAAGGTCAAGATCGTTATAATTTTTTTTATAAAAAGAGAATTTCAAACTTTGAATAAAAAAGTGCACTTCAAAGCACATCTTGTATTAACCAGCTGTTGTTCCACTATATTTATCAGATTTGTCTGAACATATGGAAAGTGTATACTCCTCAGTGCTGTATGCCAGGTTATGAGCATCTTGAGATGCAATCTGGAGATGTAATGAATACCATTTTCAGGTTATATAATGGACAAATACTAATAAGAAACTTCCCTAAGTATATAGATTAACCTATGCCCTTTACACTAAGGGAAAGGTCTCTGTTCAAACATCTGCAACAATTCTGAAAATAAAGACTTTTGCCCAATAAATCAATCAGTAGATACAATGGAAATTACTACCTATCAATTTCACTGTGGTTTAAAAATATTCCCCAAACTATTCATATGTACAGAAGAAAGACTTGAATACCCACATGCAATCACAGTAATGCTGGTGATGCTGCAAGGACCACTGAATATAGTTGGTGAGGCTGCTAAGACCACCAAATTCAGCACAGCATTATAATGGTTAGTTGCGCAGTCATCCTGATAGACTGAATTTGGCATTTTATCCATCTATCAAGTCTTTCCCAAGAACTTGAGAGAAGTAGATGTTATTATTTTATCATCATTATTATTATGTTTAAAAGGGCAGCAGAAATCCTGTTCTGCTTCTCCTAGAAGCCTGTAGAGGAATGAAGATGCCTAGAACAGGTGATAAAGGAAGGAAATGTGGGGTCCCAAAGGGCATAAGTCTAGCTGACTCTGGGAGAGAACTCATACATGAGAGAGAGAGAGAGGAGAGAGAGAGAAAGAGAGAGAGAGAGAGAGAGAGAGAGAGAGAGAGAGAGAGAGAGAGAACAGATATGAAAGATCTGCTCTAAAATAACCACAAGTAAGTGTATGCTTGCAAAGCAGCCCCCTTCTCAGCCATTCTGCATCCATGTGGAAGAGCAGGTTGCTGCAAGAATACGTGTCTGAGTATAGAAGACAGCTCTCTCCCATTGAATCTCTATCTGTCTGCGTGTGTGTGTTTGGACAAGAACAGAGAGAACAATGTAACTTGCTGGTGCAGGTGCTGGGACAAATCAGGCACATGGGCCATTCTTGCGTGCCTGGCAAGGTCCGGTGGGCCAGACAGATCGTCACACTCGTCCAATACTCGGTCTCCAGGAACAGCCAATGCGCGAAAGGAGCGAAAGGAGCCGCAGCATCTCCGAAGCAGATCTGGCGCAGGGTAACCAAGGAGCGCTTCCATCCGAGGCGCGACCCCCGCGCTTGTCGGCCACAGGCCTCGCGCCTCCCCCCACCGCCCTCCCGGCCACAGGAAGAGGCTGGGACAAACCCCGGGGTCGCACGCGTCTTGAACCCGTGCACACTCCGGTAGCTCCGGCGCTGCTGATGGCGACCGGCAGCCGAGCGTGTGGAAGGCTTCCCTCCCCAAAATTCAGCCTCCCGGTGGCGGGACCCCGAAAACCAGCCACGCATGTCTCTCGCCCCCTCCCACCAGTTGGCTTTGCGGCACAGGCTTGCCTGTGGCTTTCCCCGCCTCTCCTTGTTGCGGCTCTGCTTACCGTGGGCAGCAGTGGCTCCATCTGAGCGCCTTGATCTTTCATCTCCATCATCGGCGCCTTTTTGGAAACGGGCAGCCCAAGCGCTCGATCCGGCTTGCAACGCGCGTCCCTCAACTCCGGCAGCCCCGGCCGCAGCGGCGTCGTTCCCCTCGCTGCCTCTGCTTAGTATTCGGATCAGGTAGCTCTGAAGCAGGAGGCAGCCGCACGCCCCGACTCACCGGCGAGTCACATGGCTCCTGCTCGCACTGGAGAGGCGACGGCGGTGGCGGCGGCAGCAGCCTCCGGTCCTCGCTCTGCACAGCGCCTCTGCTGGGAATCAGGACCGCAGGGCGGAGGAAGGTAAGAGTGGGTTGACCTGGCGGAGGAGGAGCCTCGACGCCGCCAAACTCCCGCTATCCAAGCAGGCACAGCGCACCGAACAACGCTTCAAGCCGAGATGCTGCCCATCCAGACGGGCTTTGCAATCCTACAGGCCAGAGCTGGCCACAGCTTGCAAAGCGACACATCCCCTCCCCAAATATACCGACGATGCTGCACGCACCCAAAAGTGCTGGGGTCCATTTCTAACTGCGGCTGCAGGAGCGGCTCCATTTGTTATCCACAAGTGTCCAAGATCATTCTTGGACGCCAACTGTGACCTTGAAAAAATTCTATCAAAACTGATTTCTTCCCATCACACTTCAGGGTTATCTGACATGCTGCAGCTCCAGTTCCATGGGTGGACATTAGCTCCTTACCCCTTCCTCCTTCCATGTTACAATATCTAGTAGGCACCGAGGCAAATGTACAGCCCACGGACATGTAACATAATTGCACAAAGAGCATCCCAGCAATTGAATTCTGCCAACTTCAGATTCAAACCTAGAAGGGAACCATTATCAGAAGAAAAATAGAACCACCACTCGTTCAAAATATCCAGGACTACAATCTATGGGCTGCAAAATTCAAGACAATTGTCAATAGATGGCAGCAAAGATATTCAGAAAAATCTGACTCTTCTGCCACCTAGTGTCTGTCTGGAGTTTTGCAACCCAGAGATGGTGGCATAAAAAAATCTCTTTAGGTAGCAGCTAAATCAAATATTTTGGTGCATTAGGATCTGCTTTACCTAACTTCAGGGCCCTGAAGCTGGATATTCCTGTAACAAAGTGGGAGAATTTTTTCTGTGAATTTTATGCTGAGGAGATCGATATAAACTCTTCCTCAAAACTTTTGGACTTCTTTCATACTAACCACAGATCTCAGTGTCAGAAATCAATAGATCACCTGAAATCTGGAAAGGTGTTAGGAGTAGCTCTCCAGAACATATTAAAATAATCTGGATTGGTTTGAATTTATTTCATTCTTAATTGCTACTTTATTACTTTATCTATATGCTCCTCCATTTCCCAGGATAAAGTATCAGTACACTAGGATTAAAGCAAGCAAACAAAAACCAGTTAATACAATTATAACTCAACTTATTTCACGCACTACAGTTCAAGGGTAGCATTATTTTGCTACATCCCCAAATGCCTTTCCAAAGAGCCATGTGTTTATGGCTCTCCCAAAAAGTTACAAAAAACAAGTTTATTGTTTGGATATCTGAGGGCAGAGGGGACAACATTAAGTAAAAGTCCAAGGAGAGGGCATTCCCTTGATGGTGGAACTCTTTCCCCATTAACTGGACAGATAGATTTAATTAGAGAAGTATGCATGTAAGGCTTAGCCTATATAGCCAGGTGGGGCTTTAAAGATGGCAACCGGTATCCTGAATTGCTTCACTGACTGAAGGTTCTATATCAGGGGTCTTCAAACTTGGCCCTTTTATGACTTGTGGACTTCAACTCCCAGAATTCCTCAGCCAGGCATGCTGGCTGAGGAATTCTGAGAGTTGAAGTCCACAAGTCATAAAAGGGCCAAGTTTGAAGACCCCTGTTCTACATGGTCTTTGAGGGCAGCTCTATGCAGAGTGCTGTGCAGTCATCCAGCCATGAAGTGACAGAGCATGGTTGACTATGGAAAAATTCTCCTCACCCAAGAAAGCCATAAGATACCTATACAATATAATTATGCAAAAATCCCTTTAGCCCAGCCTCTATCTGTTTTTCAAGGATGTACTGTTTTTGAATTCAGAAGCTTCTGAATCCCCAGCTACTTCATCCGGATTCAGTCTAGATTTGTTTGACGTCATGAAACTTTCTAGACTCTCTGGACCAGGACCACCACTAATTGCCTGCCTGAAGCCTTCAAGCCACCTTATTAATACAGTCTTCTTTAATCTGGTGCCTTGAGGATATGTTCAGACTGCAGTTTCCACAATTCCAAACCAGTATAATGCTGTAGTTCAGTTGCTAGACTGGAAAAAGCTGAATTAACCGCATGTACATTATTACTGACATTCCTCCTGTCAAAACTACCATTTATGTTCAACAGGCAAATTCTGGTAGGCTTGAGGGAGTTCCTCAGGTACAACATACTTTCAGCAATGGTTTGCAAGATCATTCACTCCAATAACCAGTTTTTTTCCTATCAGTAATTTTATTAAGGCCTCCTACTTTAGTGAGCTTTTATTTCAGTTTTGTGTAGCAGAACTACTGGTATAACTGATGAAGAAAGAGAGAAGCTGATAAGTTTATGCAATGATTAATATTAGGGAGACAGAATATGTTCTCCCTTTCTATTCCAAACTGATCTCACAAAGAGGGAATTCTTCACCAAGAGATTCAATAATGGCCAACATGTAAGACAATTTTTAAAAAATAAGCCTACCAAACGTCATAACAAAGTAGCTTTTTTAGCATTCAGAAATGGCAGACCAGAGAGTCAGGCACTGGTGGGCAATGACAGGATGGCGATGCCTTTTATCTTCTGGCTGGGCAATTTCAGGCATATGGTTAAAAAAAAATACTAGATGAGATGAATTAGAGACACCTCCAATGAGATAGTTGTTTTCCTATTTACCATTTAACAAGTGAACCTAATTTCAGTTGATCACCTAATGGAACAGAATGGCCAAGTTACCTAGTTAGTGTATTTAGGAAATGCATACATAGCATTTCCATCATGATAGGGTCATTGAATAAATAAGACTTTTTTTTAATTTAATCTGTTAATCTTAATTACAAATATCATAAAAAAATTAGATGCCAAGTCTCACCTAAATTATACTGTATTAGTTTCAAATGATCATGAATACTTTATGAATTATGCAGGGATGCAAAATGAAGAGATTCTTCTTAATTTTTAGTTAGCGTGCTCTATTGTTCATCTGTATCTATTTATTAATAGTCAGCGTTTCCTGTAACAAGTAAACATGTACTCCAAAGAAACTCTGATATTTTAACAATATATCCAAATCATGACTGGAAACTTATTCATATCTGTTTTAAAGAACCTGTGCAACTAATGTGTCTACAAACAGCAGGACAAAATAAATTCAAAATGCTATTAGCATAAAATATATTTTTACAAGATGAAATGGTAATGAAATCAAATGGCCACCTAATATCAAATGTTCTATTAAGGATGCAATCCTAAACATTAAATATTTCAATAATTTAAACTATGTTAAATATCCTAAATATGCTACAGTAGAACGATGAATATAAATGTTACATTCTTCATACTTGCAAATGAAAAGACTTGACCACTAACAGTTGATGATACACATCTGAATAAAAATTGCATTTGCTGATAATAGGAAAAAAAAAAACCTTTGTCATTGTCTTTTGATCTGTTATACTCATCAGGGGATGAGTATGCATATGAGAGAGAGAACAATAAAATGGCAGTACTCTAATTTCTTCATAATTTCTAGTTTGTCAGCTTTAGCTAATGTATTCATGCTTTTTAATTCCCTTTAGGGAAAGTAAGGAGATTTCTCAAATCAAAAACAACGTTTAATCTATTGATGTGAGAAGAATGCCAAAGTGAGGGAGGGGGAGATAAGGTTGGAAAACAGAAAAAAATAGATTTGGATTGACCAAAATTACAGAAAATGAGATAGAACTGTTTGAATTCACTTACAGTATATAGAAATAATTTGTTACAATAAGTGTGAATCAATCACCCTAACTGGCTAGTAAACATAGCCCCAGCCATGTTGTGTGGCTGCCTAAGAAGAAGCAAATCCTGAATTCTGGAATTGGAGACTCTTGGATTCCTGCCAAGAATAATCCTGCTGAAATCTATTGAAAAATACTAACTTGAAGATGGACATCTTTCAAATCCCAGCTTTCTCTTACTGCCTCTTTTCCTAATTCATCAGAAACTCCCAAACTTCTCCCATTTCCAAAAGAAAGACTCCAGTTCTGATAGTCCCAAAGGTGCTTTTTCAAAAGGTAATTGGACGTTGTTTTTCACTGAAAACGTTTCGCTTCTCATCCAAGAAGCTTCTTCAGGATCCTTCTATCTTCCACCATTCAGTCAGAACTGAAGAAGCTTCTTCAATCAGAAGCGAAACATCTTCAAGGAAAAACAAAGATTTTTGTTGCCTTTTGAAAAAGCTCCTTTGGGGCAACCATGACCTGGATAACTGAGAATCTCCATAGACATCTGATAGCTCACTGATAGCTTGCTGGCATTTTCAGAGCCAAAGATGACAACAGTCTGATTGACTGTTGTTGCCTGGAGGATGGTGTGTTATTGTTTAATGGTTTGTATATTAGATTTTAATTTCTCTAAGCTGCCCAGAGTCACTGAGGGTGAGTGGGCGGCCATATAAACTATCATTCATTCATTCATAAATAAATAAATAAAATTATATCTGTTCTTTGTATGTTCTGTTATGCTTTGGGGATTTCAATGTAAAGTGTGCACTCGAATATTTCTCAAGCAAAATTCTGTGAAATGCTAAATATAAATATTTGTGGAATACAGACAATCATCACATACACAAACATTGGAACCCTAAAAAGTTATTCCAGGATTAGTTTTGGACTATAGTTCCCATAAACCCATCATTGAATTGTTACTGGAGCTGTAGGCCACTATATTGGTGAAGGCAGCAGATGCCTATTTCTTACCTAGTATGAAATTATTGATTTTATACTGCATTTTAATTGCAAATATGCTGAATTAAGGCTGGAAAGCTACCAAGAAGAAATACGATTTATGTTTTGATAATAAATTTATAAATGAAATTGGAAAAAAATATGTAGAACTAATGAGACAAAAACTTTTAAGCACCACCAACACAACCAACGCATGCAAAGTTGCATATGTGTAAACAACCTTTCCTTAACAGCTTACAAGTAATTATGTACAACATATCCACATTATCTGAACTCCTCTTAATTTGAAGTGTTTTAACACTGCCAAGTTGCACATTCTTTAGATAACTGAATGAAAGCACTGAGGAGGTAACTAAGCCTCCATTTAGCCATTTTGTGATGCGCAGGACCCAGGATTGCCTCTATATTTATTGTTTTCCTGAGGAATATGTCCGGATCCCATAGTGGGCTTGTGTTATGTTGAGCATAGCTTATTAAGT